ATTGTTTCAATCCAGCATATTTTTTAAGGGTGTAGTTTATGATCTAGGTTATGGTTTCTTTGTATTTTGGTCAATTATTTTCTGTTAATAAGAAAATAAATAAATCTTCTACTCAAGTAGTATATCAGATCCGCAACAATTTTTTTAAGTGATAATGTCTAAGAAAGATTGGAAAAGTTTTTAGGCAGATGGTTTAGTACTGTTTTCTTTTTGATTCAATTCTAGTCCTGATATAATCCGAGAACAACTTCCTTCTTTAGAATCGAGTCTTAAAGAAGGGAATGGTGTGATTTCTGGCTGTTCTTTGTTTTAAGAATTCTTTCATTTACTTGCTGTAAGATTCTGAGTAAATTATTTGACCTCTCCAAGCTTCCTTTTCTTCATCTATAAAATATGAAAAGTAATAACCTACATCACAGGGTTTGTGGGTTAAGTGAAATAACACATATAGATACAAAGTATATATATACTATGTGCTTATGAAATGTAAATTCCGTTTCTCCTCCTCTTCTTCCTCCTTAGGTTTGCCCCCAAAATTATTATGCTTGACATCACTTGTTATAAAAACATCTATTTGGACTAATTATAGACTTACTAATGCATTATAATGCTTTTACATCAAGAGTGGCACCATACACAGCCACACTTTTTCTAATTTGTTTTTAAACACAAGGGCAATGCCTACTCCCTAGACAAGTCAAGCAACTAATAGATATACTAAGAAAATTGAGCAATCTTCCTCCTCTGCTCACCAGTTCCTCACCACGCCAGCCAGGTAGCCACTGCTAGCCTTTTGGTGTGGGCACATTTTTCTATGCTCATATAAACACATACAGATACATATGGGTTTCCCTGTCTCCTTTCAGTATTTTTGTTTACACAAACATATTCTATGCACTGACTCTGCATTTTGCTTCTTTTCACTCAACAAAATAGCATAGATGTATCACCAGGTTAATACACAAAGATTTAATGCATTGTTTTTTATGACTGTGTTATATCCCATTGTTTGGATACACATAGTTTATTCAATCATTTCTTTACTGATGGACATTTAGGCTGTTTCCATGTTTTTGCCCTTTTAGAAAATACTACAATAATATCCTTGCACATATATCAAATGTCTGGGTCTAAGGGCATTAAGGAATCTAGCAGATCTTAGTTGTCAAATTATGAGAAATGGTCAGTTGCTGAGATAATTTATCTCCCTACAGTTGTGATTAATATTTATTAGCTTTCCAAATGGAGTAGACTTGTTCTCTGAATTTCTTAGAATATTCCATATTCTAACTCTATATTATAACTTCTTATCTTTGACTGTTATAGTTTCTTAAGAACAGTATCCAGAACTTTGGACCAGTTTTGTGGTGGGTAGGTTGAGAGACAGTACCTGTCTTGGAAATGTCAGGTTGTTCCTCCCAGCTGACAGCCAATCTGTGTTTCTGGACTGAGCTTGAGGTCTTCCCTGCACTGCAGCTTCTGGGTGGTTCCTGCATCCCTCTAGAGAAGCATGATGACATTCTCCTAAAAGTTGTGAGTGATTTCCTGACAAATTTATGTGAAAGTCAATGTAAATTTTTTCTGTTGTGTTTTATAATTGTCCATTTAGGGGACATTATAAAACAATACTTTTGTCATCTTTTCTTTTTCTTTTTAATAGAAGATAGCTATGGCAATATGACTTTTATACCTGTAGTTTGTTTTGCCATTGTAGATCTCTGGACACTGCCCAACTCCACTGTGTCATTAAGAAGCAAGCCTGAACCATACAGCGCACATTCTATTGCAGTTTTGTTATGAGCTTTCATATTCCTTGTGCTTTAGTCAGCAGGAAAACACTTCATCGCTCCCTCTTCCCAGGGAGTCCAAGCGTCTTATACGCTACACTCTGGGTCTGTCCTTTATGTGCTATTTAAGTGCTAACGTTAAAAAGAGGGGTTGAAGTATTATCTCAATGTTTGTGCCTCTCCACTTTATTATTTCATGTTGATATTGATACTACACATGAGTAAACTGTTTTCAAAGAGCTCGATCAATATTTTCTGTTATCCAAGTGTCATGTTTGAGAACCTGATAAGTTTTTAAAGTGATTTATTATTTGCAGGATTTTGTTACTTGAGGAGGTTGTTTGGATAATATTACTTGTGCTACATTTGGGGTGATTTATATTCATTACTTTGTCTCCTCTTGTTGAACACTGTCTAATTCCATGAAGTCATTAAGCAAGTTTAGACCACTTTCCTTACTGCCCCTAATCCTTTAACTGTTTCCTCTGTGCTCCCTGCTGTAGATCTTGTTTCTAATCTCTGGGAGGACGAATGCCACTTCTAGCATTCTCACCACTCCTGTCCATAGTCCCTGGGGGTCAGAAGGACAAAAACAAACCTATGAATCTCTGGATCAAGAGTCAACAGGTGAAAATCTATGTGCACGCAGGCACTGGCTCTTCCTTCTCATGGGTAAGTCCACTCTCAGAAGAAAGAAACCTGTTCTTCTCATTTAAAAGTTGATTAGAGTGCTGAACTATAGGGTTTCTTTTTTTTTATTTCAAAATGTTAAGGGGGTACAGATATTTTTGTTACATGGATAGCATTTATAATGTTTAAATAGGGCTATGAGTGTACCCATCATCTGAATAGTGTTCATTGTACCTGATAGGTAGGTTTTTTACCCCTCCTTTCTTCCCACCTTCCCCCTTGTTGATTTCCAATGACCTTTACATCTCTCTGTGCCCATTGATTAGTTCCTAATTATTAAAGAGTACATGTGGTGTTTACTTTTCCAGTCTTATGATACTTCACTTAGGATAATGGTCTTCAGTTCTATCCAAGTTGCTGCAAAAGACATTATTACATTCCTTTTCATGGCTGAGTAGTACTCCACTATATATATAGTGGAGTACTACTATATATATATATATAGTGGAGTACTCTACTTATGAATTTAGAGTTTCAAAATAAACATATTCCTGTTGTGTAGTTTGAAAATAATTTTTAAGGCAGGTAATAATGTATGACCACCCTGTCCTTAACATTTTATTAATCACTGTTCATACATTTCATGATCCAAAATGGTTCAATAGTTAGTTTTAAAAATTGTATATACCCTTAACAAGACATTCTATTGTGTGTTAGTATCTTGATGCCTATGATCTAGCCTTTTCTATATATCTGTTGGCAATCATTTAGTGCAAATACAGTGTCTTAACACATTCTAAGGAAACACAGAATGAGAGTTTTCCCTGCAAGATGATTTTCAGAGTAGCCTCATATATTGCCTTGACATAGGGGTAATACTGGCCATAAACATAGGTCCAGGGGGGTCAGGACCCTAAGCTGGGAGACTAGTCCTGAGACGACCACGGAGAGAGGCTTCCCTGATGTGGTCACGAAAGCCCTAGGGACTGGGGGCTGCGCAGGGCAGGTTTACATTTCTGTCATTTGACTGTTAATCCAGGCTAGATCTGCTGGTTCATATTCTTAGTTTTTTAGCAGAGAAGAAACATTCTGGGTTTTATTTGATTTTATGGGAAACATATGCTTGACTTAAGATGCCTTAACATTGCTATTTTTCTTTGAGGAGAGGTTTTATGTTTATTCTGTGGTTAGCTATTAACTTTATTTTGTGGTTAGCTATTTAAGCAGAAGTCACAGTGTACCCAGAGGTTCATTTGAGGTTTTATTCAATGGGCCCAGAAGATGAAAAACTATATATTTTGGTTGTTTTGATGATTAAAGTTTGATAGTCTTACATAGCTCTTATTGGTTTTGTATTGGAAGATACAGCTTATATGAATTATGTTCAGCTTTATTCTTTCATAAATTTAAATTTGGCTATCATGCTATGTCCCATGTTCTTTTCTTGAGGCCTGGCTTGTAGAGTTGATTCTCTAATTTGTGACCTGATCATATTCAGTCCCTTGATTGAGAAAAAGCTGTTACCCAGCCTGGGTTAGTCCTATGTCTGCTTCCTGGGCCCCGGACTACCTCCTACCCAACCTTAACAGGCTTCCTCACCCCCAACAGGACAAGGCGGAGCCACGTGGCTTTAGGGACACTGTAGAAGTGAAAGAATGAGGCTGTGAGCACCGATGGGGCTAAGATCTCTGCACTAGAGAGTGGACAAAGGGAAACAGTAACTTGGCCAAGTGAGGTTTGGGCTGGAGGAGTGGCTAGATTTGGCAAAGGGAACTATTATCCAAGCCTCTCTTCTCATTGGGGTTTTCAAGATTTTAAGAAATCTGGCTCGGTATCACATATCCAATCTTATCTCCCAGCACCCTTTAGTTGGCCCATCTCCCAAATGTCCTGCAAACATGCCTTGTCTGTTCCTGTGGTACTTCTGGTGAATATTGCGACATCAAGCCCTTTACCATTCACACCTTTTTACGTTTACTGTCTTGTTTTTGTTTTAGCTTTCCTTCTCCCCTGAAATGTAAGCTTTTTCAGGTAGGAGATATATCTTAAGCTTCCTTTTTTATCTTATGAATTACCCAGTTCAATGATGGACAAAAAGAAACTAGGCATTAATTAATTACAAGTTGATTATTCAGATAATCTCATCCTTCTCTGTGGACTAATCTATTGGCTGTAGTTTTAGGGATGCCGCAGTCTAATTCCAGCTATCATGTCACAGAATTCTCATGTGATGTCATTAAAAATGCCCACATAAAAATGGGTATAATCTTGGTTGTCTGAAGAAGGTATTTATATCACTAATATTAATAAGGAATTAATATTAGTAATATAAGAATGCAGCAAGATCACACTTGATAGCTTCATTCCTAGGTAAAATAATTGACTTTTCTTTAAAAAATTCAGGAATAATGTAGTCAACTTGCAAAGGTAAGTTTATTGAAGCACAGAAACAATTAGAGCAAAGTTGTCATTTCAGCTTTTTAAAGAGCATTCTAACAAGAAAATAAGAGGATGCAGAAAAATTTGCTATCATCTATTTCTGGACTGAAGCTTTTCCCTGAAGTTATCCAGAAAGATGACTAGATTAATGCCATTTCTTCACTTGTGTCCTTCTTGATTTTTTTCTTTGAAAGACACCCTTGTTGATCTGGTAATTGCTTACTTAACTTTCACCTCGGAAATATTGCTGACCTGCGATGAGACAACTTTGCCATCCACCACCTCCTCTATGATGGTCTTGGTCACTCTAGTCTTGCTGGGATCTGAAAATCATGGGATCACAATGTCAGTCTGGGAACTATCAAAGAAACACAGAGCAGGAGAAATTCAACTGCATTCATTAAGCATGTTCTCTCTGGGTAAGACTGTATAAACAATAGCATACACTTTTAATATGACAAGCAAAGCATAATTATAGGATCATCATTATTTAAAATCTATCTACCTCTTCCTTGACCAGAACAGTTTCCAGATCTTGAGTCATCAGATCCCGTGTTTTTGGATCCTGAGGTTTTATAGTCAAATCCTCCAAAACCAGAACCACTGGGGAAAAAAAGAATTATGATTTTCATTGTAGTTTGTAGAGGTAGGAGAAACCCTCCGTGCTGGGGATTCTCCATGATGAGGTTTGGATTTCTTTTGATTGGACTGTGTGTCTGTTACTTTATTACTGTTAAAGACAAGTCAAACTCTGAGTCCCCTTTTGTTTTTATGAAATAAATTCAGCAAGGTATGCACTCGTGCATGCCTGTGCTTCCCATTTACCCTCGCTCTCCATCGAGCAGGCGGCGGTAGGTCTCGATCTCCATCTCCAGGCGTGTCTTGATGTCCAGCAGTTGTTCGTATTCCATGTTCTGGCATTCGGTCTCGCCCCGGACCTGGCAGATCTGCTCCTCCAGGCTGCTGATCCGCATCTGGATCTCTGACAGCTGGGCCACGTAGCCAGCTTCCGTGTCAGCCAGGGTCCCTTCTAGGGAGCTTTTCTAAGAGAAAAAGCAAATGACAAATTCATGATGGAAATAAGTGGTTGGATGATTTTTAGACAATGCAGTTTTCTACTATACTAGAAGTGCAACTTCACCAAGTTACAACCTATATTGCTTTATTATGACTTCTTTAATTTTTGTTGGCATTCCTTTTAACACTAAATCTTTTAGGGAAACAGAGTACATTATCTTTAACTGGTTTATGCTGCCTATAACCACAGGACAGTTTTCCTTAACACTGCTTTTATTATGTGCCTAGTGAACATCTTGGCAAAGAAAGGAAACGGCGTTTGCTTAACCTCTGGCTGGAGATGTCAAAAAGCTGTTTGCACATACCATGGCCAGTTGGGACTGTAGCTCAATTTCCAGGGCTTGCAGAGTCCGTTTCAGTTCTGTTATCTCACTCTTGGCAGAACTGGCTGCCCCGGCATCCGTAGAGATCTGTGCTTGCAGTGATGCGCTCTAAATAAGAATAAAATGCAGTTGTTGTAGGCTGATGAGAGGAGCAGAAGTGGCTTGTGTGTGGCTGCAGGTGCCCAACAGAGATAACCCACCTGCTTGTTGAACTGCTCCTCAGCCTCTCGGCGGTTTTGCTCCGCCAGCTCCTCGTACTGTGCTCTCATACCATTCAGTAATTTGGTCAGGTCGGTTCCTGGGGCGGCATTCATTTCCACGGTCACGTCCCCTCCAGAGCTTCCTTGCAGACTCCTCATTTCCTAGCACGAAGGCAAAAAGACCATAGCGATGCAAATAGAAAAACAATGATGTCCTAAAATGTGCATAGACGACACAATTTGAAACTAGAACACTACAGGGGAACAAAACATCAAATTCAGATATAACTTGCTTATTATGACTTTTTTTTTTCCTCATCATAGTATGTGGGAAATTCATTTAGATAAAATTGAGTTTATTTTATTTTTATAGAGTGGATGGGGGGAAATATGTATGCCAGAGCTGTGCATTTATGTGGAACATGTTCCTACCTCCTCGTGATTCTTCTTCATGTAGGCCAGCTCCTCAGTGAGACTCTCAATCTGCATCTCCAGGTCAGAGCGGGTCATGGTCAGGTCGTCCAGAACTTTCCGTAGGCCGTTGATGTCGGCCTCCACGCTTTGCCGGAGGTATAGCTCGTTCTCATACCTGGAAGGGGTAGCAGTTAGGCAGTATGGTGAGCTGGCCTGGCCACGTTCAAAGAGTACCTCCCATTCTTGCATGTTGTCAAAGTTTTCACCTCTGGGCATTTGGGTAAATGAAGGCTACTGAGTTTTCTCTTGGGAATTTTTCCCTCATAAAGAAAAATATGAGTTTAATGTTAATCATGCCTAATATTTTTTATAATAAAGTTCTCATAGCTAATTTGCCTCTTTCTTTTACTTCTTGATGGAATAATGGTTTCTAAAGTTTACCCTGGGGATGTTTGAAATTTAGGTCATGATCCTCTAAATTTTTTTTTTTTAGGAGGTTGATTGAATGTTATTTTTCCTATAACATCTGTTTTCAAGTCTTGACATTTCTTACTTCAGTCTGAAGTCATCAGCAGCCAGTCTGGCATTGTCAATTTGCAAAACGATCCCAGCATTTTCAATAGTGGCAGTAATGATCTAGAAAAGATGTTAATAGTGAATGAACCATGAGTGATTTTAACTTGTGTCTGTGTGTCTACCTGTGAGGGTAGATGCCCCCTGTGTTATTAGCACTTAAAGGTGAATCACTTTGCAAACTTATTAATGACATCTGTGTATTTAGGACTGGTATATTTAGGACTACATCTTTCTGCAAAATGGTAAAAGTTTGCACATTTATTGGACTAGGTATAGAACATTGTTTTACAGAACACAACATATAAACTCTATATATTTCTGCTGCTTTCGAAAATCAGTTATTCCATGAGCTCTTTTAGGAAATAGTGTGAAAATGGAATTTCACATAAAAAAATCTTAAAAATATATTTCTTATACCATAGTGGCTAAGCACTTTTAGATTCCACTACATTACTTTTTTACTTTTTTTTTTTTTGTTAGAGACAGGGTCTCACTTTGTCACCCAGGCTGGAGTGCAGTGTCATGATCATTGCTTGCTATAACATCGAATGCCTGGGCTCAGGTAATCCTCCCACCTCAGGCTCTTGAGTAGCTGGGACTACAGATGCCTGCCACTATGCCTGGCTAATTTTAAAAAATATTTAGTAGAGACATGGTCTCATTTCGTTGCCTGATCCTCGAACTTCTGGCCTGAAGGTGATCCTCCCACCTCAGCCTCCCACCAAAGTGCTGGGATCATAGTAGTGAGCCACTGCACCCGGCTTCCACTACATTCTTATACAATTTTTGCGCCAGATTTTCTAGGAAGAAAAATAATCCTGAGGACTATTTAAATCTAGCAGATACTAAAATATGTCACCCTGTCAGAATTAATCATGGAATAATTAGATTAAACTAATGTTGATTCATTGCCATCATTCTTATATATAAATGTTAATTAGCTGCCTGGCATTGTATAAGTTTTACTGTCATAATTAAGTATTATCATAATTAAGGCACACCAGCTTTCATTTTACAGCAAACAAATATGTTTTCACATACTTTTTGGCTTAAAAATTTCATTATAGAACATGATCTGAATAAAAGTGAAAGACATAAGAATAATAGAACTCAGCCACGAATCGGGTCTCACCTTATTCCTGAGATCTTCAATTATTGCATAGTATTTGCTGTAATCTCTTCCAGATGCAGAATCTCTCGACCCGGGCCCAAATTTGTCATACCACTCCTTGATCTTGTTCTCCAGGTCAGTGTTGGCCTCCTCCAGGGCCTTGACTTTGTCCAGGTAATTGGCCAGGCGGTCGTTGAGGTTCTGCATGGTTTGCTTCTCACCTCCAGAGAAAAGCCCCCCATCGCCAGCCCCACCTCCCATACCGCCGCCGTAGCTGCAGAAGCCTCCACCAGAACTGCCACCGAATCCAGACCCTCCACCGAACCCAGAGCCCCTGCCAAAGCCTGAACTCCCACTGAATCCACAGCCGAATCCAGAGCCCCCCCCAAAGCTAGCACCCCCGCCAAAGCCTGAGCTTCCTCCAAAACCTCCCCCTACTGAGCAGCTACCAAAGCCCCCACCAACGCTGCCCCCAAAGCCACTGCTAGATCCCCCACTCAGGCCACAGCTGCTGGTTCCTCCTCGGAAGCCCCGGGTAGAACTGCCCCCCAGGCCACATTTGCTTCCACTGCTGAAGCTGCTTCTACCAACAGACACCCTGACCGAGCCGCTGCCTCCAGCCTTGGAGGAGGAGACGCGAGATGAGCAAGACATGATGCTCCTGCGGACGCTGAGCTTGTCCAGGTGAATAGGAGAGGTGACGATGAAGACTGTATTCAAGCTGCCTTTTGGCCCTTATATACACACTTTTAGGGTGTTCCTTTTCTCTGTCACTTCTTAATCCCTGTTACAGTTTTGCTAATCCATAATTGGATAATTTCTTTTTCGTGAACCCACTCTACTGGCTCTTTTTCTGAAGCTTGGGTCAGAGCCCTGGGGCGTTTACTATATCAAGGAAGAAAAAAAATAAGGTGGAGCAAGGCAAAAAAACTTTTCAGAATTACAGTTTTAATCTTCCAGAGGTTTCCATGACTGGTAATTCCTTTCTGAAAGAGTAGTTCTATTAAATTCGCTTCATGATTTCCCAATTGCAGGGAACATCTCCAGATTATCGAATGTAATTAAAATACTTAATATGATGAGAATAAAAATTTCCCATCAAACGCATAATTTTTGTTCTTACTGTTCTCAAAAGTCTAAATTAGCATTCACATCAGCATTAATTTCAGATTTAATTAAGCGTCCTTTTCTTCGATTGTTTCAATCAGCATATTTTTAAGGGTGTTGAAGTTTATGATTCTAGGTTATTGCTTTCTTTGTATTTTGAGTCAAATATATTTTTACTGTTAATAAGAAAAAATAAATAAAAGTCTTCTACATCAGTAGTATTAGATCTCAGCAACACATTTATTTAAGGAGATAATGTCTAAGAAAGATTGGAAAAGTTTTTAGGCAGATGGCTTTAGTATGTTTTTCTTTTTGATTCAATTCTAGTCTGATATAATGAGAACAACTTCCTTCTTTAGAATCGAGTCTTAAAGAAAGGAATGGTGCTGATTTCTTCTGTCTTTGTTTTAAAGATATCTGGAGAAAAGGATCTGAATCCACTTTTTTGTTCATTTGTTTTATTTTTTATTACTTATTTTTAAAAATTTTATTATTTTATGAATCCACTTCTGATAACCTACATTGTTCCTGGAATCATTTTACAGATTCTGAAATCTGGAGTTTCCCCTGTCTACTCATTGCTCATGTGTGTTCTATTTTTGTTGAAAAGATGTTTAGAAAAGAGGCTCTGTATCTACTTTTGACAACTAATGTTATAATTGGGGTAATTTTATAGGTTCTGAGATCTGGAACCCTCCCCAGTTCACTTTCTGCTTCATGTTTTTCTGTTCCTTTGTACTTTAGATTATTTCTGTTCATTTCTTCTAGTAGTTGCTCTGGTTAAAAGTGTCTTTTAAAAGACAAGCATTGTAGCCAGTGTGGTAGTACACACCTGTGGTTCCAGCTACTGGGGAGGCTGAGACAGGAGGATTGCTTGAAGCCAGGAGTTCCAGGCTGCAGTGAGCTATGATCACATCATTGCACTATGGGCTGGGCAACATAGCAGGACACTGCCTCTAAATAATTTTAAAAAATAAGACAAAAACTGTATAATTCCACATATATGAATTTCCTAGAGTAGTCAAATTCATAGAGACAGAAAGTAGAATGAAAGTAGAAAGTAGAATAGTTGTAGGGGCTGGGGAGAGGAGATAGGGAATTGCTTACTGGGTATCGAGTTTTAGTTTTGGAAAATGAAGAGTTTTGGACATTGGTTGTAAAACCGTGAGTATATATAAGACCACTGAACTGTACACTTAAAAATGATTAAGATATAAGTTTTATGTTATGTGTTTTTACTACAATTTTTTTTAAAAAGTCTTTTTTGAAAAGTATAGATGCTTCCAAAAATATTTTTTTTAGCCTCCTTATCTTTATATTTGAGTAGATGACTTTTGTTTATTTAAAACCTTCTTTCTTATCTAGGCAGTCTCTGTTAAACTATGTACATGCCTTAGTCTTTATATTTAATCATTCGTTATCCTGTGTTCTGCATTTTCTTAATTTTTCCTTAAACTACCATTGTCTGGGACACGTTATTAAATATTAAGTAGGTGGCGAGTCTCTGTACTATGTAGTTGTTTAGTTTATTGGCATTTGTGCTCTCCCTGTACTGTTGTCACAGTAATGCGATGTCACTGTTCTTCATATTTATCCTGGCATCTCTCCACAAGGGGTACAAGGTGCTGTGCAAACTTTTAACTTGTTAAGCTGGAGGAATTTTCAAAACGCCCTTCTAAAGTAGGTAAAAAATGCACCAAACGTAATGTGTTGGTCATCTTGTCTCACCTGTCCCCAAAGCTATGAAACCAAAGAAATCTGAGCACTAATGATTAAATGGTATGTAAATGCCAGAGATGGGAGGAACAGTCAGTCATTGGGTTTTTCTTCCTTTTAAAGTTATGAAATGTAATCTTTCCACTTTCATAAAGGCTGGCATTCATCTAAAAGAGGGCTTAAAGAAAGGAACAATAGCAAAGTGAAAGAAATCTGATGAAATGTAGAAATTTAAGAGCCTTTATGTGGAAAAAATGAGAAAAGATAAGATTTAACAGTATCTTTTGCCTCTGAACTTTACCTGGGGTTAGTGGAGTTGTTTTCTTCAGTTGTCATCTGAGTTGTAGCCTTTTTTTATTTTTATTTTTTATTTTTATCTTGGTAGCTGTATTTTCCTTTGAGATATTTAGCTTTGGGATATCTGGACATTTGGGTTTCAATTGAGGAATGCTGTGATGATTCAGGTATTACTGTTTCATTTCTTATTTTTTGTTTTCCTCTTGACATAATTTATAATGCTGGCATCCATCTCTTCCTTGTTTTTAAAACTCAGCTTCAAAATTAAGTTCTTATGAGATGCTTCTCTGATGCTATTCAGAGATAACCCATGAGAAGGGCCTTTAATGAATGAAATAGCCATTACTGCCTCAATTCTTTGCTTCATGAGTCAGTATATAAATAAATGTATAGATAAGCCCACAGCATTCCCTCCTCTGTTTGTTAGTATTAAATGCATTTTCATGCTTTCTTTCTGTTGGATCTATGTGACTTTTGTTTTAAATGCTGAAACTATCAAACAGACTAATCTTGATTCTATGATTTGCAAATTGTCTAGAATGTTGATATTTAGTGGATTAAAGGATTTTAATCACGTATAGAAATACAATTCTATTCTTGCCCAAAGTGTTACAATCCTTTAGTAAACATTAGTCACCATTTTTTGAGACATCCTCAATTTTAATACTCACTCTTCATTTGAAATAATAACTTGCTGAAGACCACAAATTTGTTCTTGGTGTTTCTTTGATCTGTAAAGTGAAAGCTTCAAGAGTCTGGTGAGATTCCAGTGAAATAGGAGGTTTAGGAAATGCCAGTGCAGTGTGTGGCATCCAGGAGTTTTTTGATATGTGATAGTTGAGAAGAGATGGACTGAATTCTAGATGTCTGGACTCCCAGATTAATGCTCTGCCCCGACTTAAACGTTGTTTTGAATAGCTTATGATTAGCAGTTTATTTTTACCTGTAAAGAGCCATTACACTTCATTATAGAATAGGATTTCTGTGATAAGTGCAGAATGGTTTGCAAATAGTAACCATTAATGTTTTTGTGAGATAAATCATTAGTATTTTTAGAATTTTTCAATTAACATATTGAATGTTTTTAGATTAGTAGGAAAACTACATACTGAAAAGTATGACATATTGCCCCTGAGGACTCTTTAAAGAATTGGGAATAAAACTTGGGGCTTCTATCTTCTGTTCATTCCAGAGAATTTTCTGTTGTGTGTTTTTCTAATAAAGGCATAAGATCAAAATAGGGAAAAGAAGTCACAGGCTGTAGAGTATTGGTTGAATATTGGCAGAACTTCTCAAGGCAGACAGTACAGAAGAGGAAAAAGTGTAGGCAGATGTGTGAACAGTCTCTTTGCAATACCTGACAGATTGTGGATAGACAATAAATATTCCTTATATTAATAAGAAGCAAGTTGTCTTGATTTGCTTTGTGAGCTACCTGGGTCACTGATTGCTTTTGGCCTTTATACTAAGTGTTCTGTTTTCTAAATCTTTACTTTCCACCCCTGGGTGTGTGGTTCTCAGTGTGTGTGGTTGTGGGGAGGAGGCCTGGCAGTGAGAGGGGGTGTTGTCTGGGAAGGGGGCAGGGAAGGTCATGCAAGAATCCCCTGGGGACCTCCCAGCAGAGAATCATTGTTTAGGTCAACTTCCTGCCGCTGGCTCCTGGGAACTCTCTCACCTCCTAGGCTCAACTATTTGGAAGAAAAAGAAGGGTTTGCTATAATAGGTGTCCTGAGAGGCCACTCCAGTGGGTCCAACCCCACCCATCGATTTCAGCCCTGTGTCAGACACGAGAGACCTATCTGTTCTGTGGCTGTTTCTCTTCCTGCACTCCTTCCTCTCCTCCCCTGTATTCTTTCCCCACCACCCTTGTCCATTCTTTCTCTGAGTAGCTTCAGTTAAGTGAATCTGTTTGAGGGCTTCCTTCTTCACCACCTTAAGTAAGCATCTGTTTGGTCATTGGTTGTGCCATTTTGCCAAATTCTGTCCTAGGCGAAAATGACTTGGCTTTGTACTTGTGTGTGAATGCTTTAAGAATCTCTTTAAATAGCTCAATTTTCCAATTTTCCTGAAGATCACTCAGCTGGTTAATGGAAAGTTTAGAGAATGGGTGAGTGACTTTGTAGGGGTTGAACTGCATCCGTCGTCCTCCAGGGTCCAAAGTCAAGATGGATTGAAATGAGCACAGATTTTATGGATTGGCTTTGCTCAAAAGGTCCTTTTGGGCCTTTCTTCATACCAGACAGACAATAGCTTCCTCTTCAGAGAACTCACAGATGTGTATAACTCAGACTGTAACCCGAGCACGGGGTGCCCAGCCCCTGTGCCTCTCGCCATTGCTAAATCACTGCTCTGGGCACCCTTGCTCTGTCTCTTGGAGCTGGAATTCAGCCTCCATTGGCCCTCTGGTCTCAGAGACACTGCAGATATTTGGTCAAGGAATCCCACTGCCTAAACATCAGTTTCCTAGCAAAAGAATGGGATAGTATTTTATTTGGTAAGATTGCATCTCCTAGGCTCTGTCTAGAGCCTATTTT